TCCTAAGGATGTGGTGACTCCCCATGCAGGAGCATCCTGCAATGACCACTCCACTGCAAGGTGTTGAGCAAGACACTTCTTGTGACTTAAATTTCCGCATTTTAAGGTTTCCGTGCATCAAAAAGGACCATCCAACTGCAGCAACAAGGTGCAGAAAAACCTCATTAAAACAGGGGAAGACTTAGGGGGAAACTGGTAGCTTGAGAGCTTTCAAGGAGGACCAGGAAGCAAATGATTGAAAGCATTTAGCTACCTTCTTAATCACCTAAGATTCAATTATGAAACCTTCCGGAAAAACCTGCAGGAGGAGCAGAAAGGAGTAAAATAAAATAACGGGCGGCCCCTTCATGCAAGGAGCAAAGGAATTTTGGATGGGGACAAAAAAACCGTCAGGAAGCAGGACTAAGTGAGAGCTTAATCACCTCAATTTGGGTCTGGCTTCATTATTGCGGCTCTCATGGAAAATATCCATTCAGGGGCTAGACAAAGGGAACGGAATATAATCAGGAGCCAATGTGTTGAGCAGCGCTGTGGCACAAACAGCATCTTCAGCGATGAAAGCATAATTTACCAAACAAAGATACATCAATTCTGCTGTCCGATAAGAGCCCGCCAGTAGGTATTTACCTGCTAACGAACGCGCCGTGAAGGGAATCTTAATGATGAGCAAAAAAAAGGTAAAATCCTGCCCATAGGTGCAGCTGTTGCATCAACACATCTGGAAGGAGCCAGGGTGCATCCCGGGCTCATCCCTATCCCATGCTTGTCCAGGTCTTCTTGCCACCATCCAAAGGGGCTCTGCACAGGCATCCCCTCTTGCTGTAGGGAATGCACCAATATTGCATGATTTATTAGAGAAATGGGGTGGAAAAGGACGTGCTTGGGATTACAGCTGGCTCTCACACCAAAGTACTCCTGGCCCCTGCTGAGAAAATTAGTTGCCTTATAATTAACTCAGAGTTATATTGGCAATAAATATGTAATTATATTTGTACTACTATGGGTGGCTTGCGATTACAAATGGCATTTTAGCGGGCTAAACGGCTTGGGGAAAAGTCCATCGGCTTCCTGTCTCCCACTGGTTGACAGGTTTTATGGATTTTCCGGGAGTAAATAAAACACGCGGCCACCAGCCTCCATCATCCGCTTCCAACCTGGTGGGATGCGGCACTGCGGAGGGCTCCTGAGCCCCTTTGGATATGGATTTGAGCACGTTCCTGCTGCTGGAAATCTCCTTTTTGGGTTGTTTTTGCATGTGAAGTTAGTGCCGAGCGTTAAAAGGCGGGAGAGTTGGTTGGAGGAGGCTGTTGGAGCCAGCAGAGCCCCATTGCTGGGATCCTGGGAAGGAGAAAGGGAGAGCAGAGGGTTCGGGACCGGAGTTGGGAATGAGTCTAGGGAAAGGAGATGTGATTTCAGGCAGCTTCCGTCGTTAAAAAGCCCTTTAATTTAGAGATGAGCTGTGTGTCCCATCTGGTCCCATCCAGCCACCCATCTGTCTCCTGAACCAAGGACAGAAGGGTTAATAGGGCCATTAGCTCCCTTTAACGAGCACGCGCACGCTGCTCCCCATCCCTTCCCAAATAAAATCCCGGTGACTCCGGACCAGGACACGCTGAGAAGAGGCTGCTCCAGCAGCAGGAACGTGCCAGGGAACAGGGCTCGGAGCCGCCTTGTTCCAGGTTATTCCTCCCTGCGAGTTAACGGAGGCATCGGATGCTCTCGGAAAAGCAGCGTGCGCCGGGGGTGAAAAAGCCCCCGCCAGCCAAAAAAAACTGCCGGGAAGCACTGCCGGATCCGTGCGGATCAGCTGCAGGCTGACACGTTAAATACACATCTAAAAAAAATAAATAATAATAATAATAAAAAAAAACACCCGGCACCTGTGTGGGGAGCCCCTTCCCAACACCTGCAGCTCCGGCATCAGGATAACAGATGGGGACGGATGGGTAGAGCCAGAGCCCTGGGCTCAAACAGCCCCTCTTTGCTCCCTTTTTCCTCCTTTCCTTGGAAAACGCCCCTCGGATGAGGTTTGCCAGCCCAGCGTGATGCAGCTCGGAGGTCGGTGTCCCCTACCCGGCTGCTCCCGCTGTCAGGGCTGATGCCGGTAGCTAATTTTAGAGCGTATTTATTAACATTTTAACATAAAATGTGCATGAAATATTCACCCAGCATGACAATGCACTTTATCACTAGGGAAGCCTTAAATATTTAAGAGGTGTCTCGCGGCTGCCGTGGCGGGAAGCGGATGCATCCGGCTCACGGCAACGCTCGGACTCAGGCACTGCCAGTCGCTGCTGCCATTTCAGGTCCCCATTGGGATTTTGTCCCCAGCACCAGGCTCGGACCAGGGATTGGGAAGCTGCTCTTTGCAGGCAGCTCTCCAGGCTGCTTCCCGAGCCTTTTCCCTCTCCTATCCCCCTGGAGAAGCCTTGGATAACGCCCTGCGAAGCGGGGCTCCGTGTCCCCCGAGGTGACCAAAAGGAAGAATCCCATCTTGTTTTCTTTATTCCGAGTCTCGCCAGCTTGGAAATTTAAGGAGCGACTAGAACGGATGCAACTTAGACCACAAACTGCCCCAGCCGCCATCCCGGGAAAAGTGACCAAGTGACCAAGCGTCACCCATGGATGCGCAGGAAGCGGCATGGGCGCCGAGCGCTCCGAAAGGGCCATTCCCGGCGGGATGCTCCTCAGCTCCCCGTGGGATGGCCGAACACCTCCTGGGAGGCGTAGGTGAGGTAGAGGAAGCCGTCTTCATCCCGGTGCTCGCGGTAGAGCTCCTGCATGGTGGCCGTCATGCTGGGCAGCGCGCGGTTGTCCGCCAACAGGTAGAAGGTCTGGGAAGATGCCAGGTACAGCCGGGTCCTGCCGGGACCGCGCGTCACTTAATGCGGAAGCTGCAGCTCCAAGAAGACCCCTGGGAGCTGGAGCAGCTTCCCTGCTCTGTTCCCAATCCCAGGGATTACCCACCCGCTCCTGCAATCAAGCGTGGCTCGTTTGCGGCACCGCTAATTGCCCTAATGAGCCATGCAGCAGCGTGGGGCCCCTTACCGCAGGGTGACGGCAAACTGGGAGAGCGGCAGGTCCTGGGATACCAGGAATTTGGTCCTGTTCAAGGCGGGCAGGTTCTTCTCCTTCTGGTACCGCTCCACCACCACCTGCACCAGGGCGAAGAGGCCCATAGGACTTGGGGACATGGGGACCAAGCTGGTGCTCCAGGGCCACCGCTGTCACCTCCCAGGGATGGGAGACACTTTGGCACCCTTGGGACGGAGCCAGAGGGACCTTTGTGGCTCATATTGGGTTTTTTTAGGGAGTAGGCAAGGAATGGCAGGAGATCCTGCGGGAACGGCACCTTACCGGGATTTTATTGGGGTACTTTATCCGGATCTCCGTCACTTCGTGCATCCTGGCAGCTGCAAAAGAGAAAGGCAGGAATGAGTGAGCTCCGGATCCGGCGCCGGTGCCGGCAGGACTCGACCCGGACGCACCCAGGCTCTTCCTCTGCTTGAAGGGGCGAGCGCTGCCCTCTCCCCACTGCATCTTGGACACCAGCAGGATCTGGGATTTGGCTCTGCCAGGCCTGATATATCCCGGCCTGGAGGAGGAGCCGGCGGCTCCCGCGCGGAGCAGGTGGGATCTGTGGAGCTCCGGAGCGGGAAGCAGCTGGGATTGTTTGCAGCTGTTGCGGGAAGCAGATCGGGGCAACCTGGCCTTGGTGCTGCTTCCCAGCTCCGGAGGTAATTCCTGTTCCCCACCAGCATTCCCGGTGGCATTCCTAGCCCCAGAGGTGATTCCCAGGCCTTGCAATGTTCTCACTTCCAGCAGTATTCCTGGCCCCGGCAGTGCTTCCCGGATGGAACCACATGGAATGAAATGGGTCCTCCTGCATCAGGATCAGGGCTGGCATCCAAGCGGAGCAGCATTCCCATGATGGACGGGAATGACGAGAACGCCCCGGCACAGCAGCATGCCCAAGGACAATCCATCATCCCAGGTTTTCTTATTTTTTTTTTCTGATGTGTTTCATATACATATTTAATATATTTTGCTGTTCGGCGATATATTAAACTGTATTACTTTGCCATAAAAAATCCCTCAGACATGCTCATCACTGGTTTGGAAAATTACATTAGCAATATATATTCCATCTGTGTAGCAAGTTAGGCCATTATAAATTTATACCCCTAATAAATTGAATTCTTGAAACTTTGCGTGGGATCCGAGGTGGAGGTTCACAGAGGAAAGGGGCATTTCTATTCCAGATGATTTCTGAACAATAAACTGATAAATATTAAAGTGTCTCTCTGTTTGCTAATAAAATGAATCGATTACTATTCAGCGACTTAATTCTCTTCCCAGGAAAGCTAATTGCTTTCCTGAGAGAAAAAAAAAAAAGTTGCAAACTTAAAAAAAAGCCAATCTCCATTTTAAATTAGTTCATTAACAGTGAACATTTATTATTTATCAGTTTAATTTCCAAATATTGCTGTGAAATTGGGCTGGACTCCGGAATCCCAGGTCTTCATGGAAACACGTTGCTTTCATTAGCATCTACTGATTAATTAAAGATGAAGGGAAATTGCTTTTCCGGGTTGGCGGCAGCTTTCCAAGGCCGAGGAGGGAATGGGCCTTTTTCTGCCTGGAAATGGTCCTGGAATGGGGTTGGTGTCCCCGGATCTTCCCTATGGATCCGGCATCTCCGCCACGGAAGGAGCTCCGTGCTCCCAGCAATGCTGATTTCCTCGGAGAACAAGCAGCGCTGGAATAATCCAAATAAAATAATAAATGCCAGTCCTGGGATGCGGGGGGAGACGGAGGGAAAATTTATATCGGCAGCTTCCCGGCTGCAAGCGGCGGCTCATCTGCATTCCCGCCTTCCCGGCGCAGGGCCCTCCTGGAGCAAATCGCAGCTGAAACTCATAAATAAATCCTCTCCTGCGCAAGGGAAGTTTTATTCATAGCTCGTTTTGTGGCACAGAGGAATGAAAAAAATATATATATGTGCCCCTGGATTTAGCTTTAATCGCACGGTAAATATTGAAGGGGGGGTTGCAGCTCCGGGCGGAACGGGCGGGTGGACCTGCCTGTCTGTTCCCTGTGGTCCCTCATCCATCCCTCCGGCCTCATCCATCCCTCCGGCCTCATCCATCCCTCCGGCTTCATCCATCCTTCCGGTCTCATCCATCCCTTTGGCTTCATCCATCCCTCCAGCTGCCGTCTCCATCCCTCCAACCCGCTGCCTCCTGCATCCCTCTGCCTCCTCCCTCCATTTCTCCATCCCTGTATCCCTGCATTCTTCCATCCTGCTTCGTTTTCCATCCCTGTGTCCCTCCCTTCTGCTTCCTTCTCCATCCCTCCAGAGGGAACGATGGTCCCGACCCCTCAGTTCCCTGGGAAAATGCCCAGGTTCCTCCTCTTGGTGCTCCATGGACAAGGCCTGGGAAAGCTGCTGCCATGGGGACAAAGACCAGGAATGGGCCAGGAAGGGAACCGAGA